CAAGATGGGTGTCCTAAAGCCACTTTATTCCCAGCCCAAAAGAGAACTGAAGAGGTAGGAAAGACTTCACTCGTTTTTTAAAGGATGAATGGATGGTGGTAACACCACAGTGCTCACCCTGACACCTCACGGGTGCTCCTCTGGGCTGCCGCAGGGGCCTGGCTGTATCCCGAGTGAGGTCAGAAAAGCCTAACCTAGCAACAAACTAAAAACCTTGGCAGGAAGAGATCTCTTGTGCGTGTCAATACTTTATTTTGGTGTAAAGACGGAAAGCTGGAAAATACACTGTATTTAAAATTTGCTTGGTTGCCCCTCATGTGGAAACCCCCCACCCACCCCTTAGAGCTAATCTGTTCAAATTCAAATACTTAAAAATTACAGCAGCAAAACAAAGCAAGGAAAAGTGAGAGCCCAATGGCGAAGGCGGAGTGGGCCAGTAGTGTCACTTGGTGTGAACGACCGAGGTGCTGAATAGGAGCTTCTGTTTCTGCTTCTTCCTTTTCTTTCCTCCTCGCTCCTCTACATGGGAACAGAAAGGTCTTTAGCTTAGACTGGGAGCCCGTCACAGGTGGCAGCCTAGAGGGCAGGATCCCTGGGTTCAAACACCCAGCACCTACGGTGAGCCCGGGAGGTACAATGGGGCTAGGCTCAGCCAGCAACCTAAAGGTCGGTGGTTCAAGCCCACTACGCTGACTCCCTAGAAAGGGCAGCCTTGGCAGCCCCTAAGGTGGCCGAGACAGTGAAACTGGCACATACTGAGCACAACTCGAGCCCAACTCGAACATTGACTGTTTTCCTGTTTCCTACAGATGCTTTGGGCTGAGGTAGGCTCTAAGCCAGACACTCCTGTCCATTAACCAACCCCCTCTGTTGTCTACGAAGGGACTGGCTCTGGGAATGTCACCCACGCCTCACATGCCACGATGGCTAGCTGTTGTTCTCATGAGCCAACGAAATGCCAGTCTAAGGGGAAGGTGCCTACTAGAGTTCCCAGCATGGATGGGAACCTATGGGGCGGCTGGGGGGGCCGTACCTGAGAGGGGGTCGGCAGTAGCTGCTGTGTCCAGTTTCAAGAAGGCTGCTTCCATGGCCTGGCTAAAGGAGTTCTGGAAACTGGGCACAGGGACCCGGTCCGAGTTGTCACTCTCCCCATCACTGTCACCAGGGGCAGGAGGCACGAGGCTGTTCTCATCTGAAAAATGCTGTTGTCAGATCCTAGGAACCACGCTGCAGACACCTCCTCCCACCCCAGCACCAGAGGGCTGTCTCACTTTTCTTTGGAGCGGTCTTGGGCCACACGTCTGCTTTTGCTTTTCCAACTCGCAGCATCTACCAAAGTGGGAAAGGGGACAAAGGAAGTCAGTGTTTCCGCTGCTCTTCCAGACTGCTGCCTTGGACAGAACCAACTACCTACCACCTGAGAGAAGACCAGCAGACACACTGCTCTGACCAGTGGGATGGGCAGAGAAACCTACAGGGTAAAACCAATGCTGCCTTGGTTCCTTAGGACTTAAGACAGGGCAACATGGCGTTTCTGTCCGTCTCTGGCGGCTTGACTTGTACTCTGCTTGTACCCTCTTCTGGACCCCTAGAAACACCAACCTATTGCAATAAACTCGTGTTTTCAATTTGAACAAACCACTGGACTTGCATCATTACAGCCACAAAGTCCAAGTCAGCCTTGGAGGTTCCCGCCACCCCACTGCAAGTTCAGCAACAGCCAACAGCAGAGCCACCCCCTCTGCCATGTGGCCCAGGCCAGCTTGGTAATTGAGGGCCACGACGAGTCCCCTCTGCAAGCATGCCTGGCCAGCGACACCATGAAGCAGGGAGGTCTTCACCTCCGAAAATACACAGAAGCCAGCCCCACCAAATCCAGACACTTTGAAGGAGGTCTGGCTGGGCAAGCACTGATTTCCTCCAGTGATTTGTTATGTACATTGTGATCTCCCTGCACCCTGGAGTGTGGGTCCCAGCAATCTGCCCCAAATCAATCCAAAGGCAGATTAATAATAAAATGTTTCCTTCCCAAGAAGAATCCAGTCATGAGACAACAATCAGACAGTGGGATAGAGTCTTGCCCCCCATTTGTCTCCCCCGTATTATCTGCTGCCTGCTAACACATGGTCAATGTCTGTACACTTGGAGGTCAGCTGCTTAAAGGCCATCTCCCTGACGGTATCAGTCAACCTAGAGCAGCGGTTCTCAACCTTCCTAATGCTGAGACCCTATCATACAGTTCCTCATGTGGTGGTGACCCCCAACCATAACATTTCTGTTGCTACTTCATCACTATCATTTTGCTACTGCTATAAACTGGACAGCCTCTGTGAAAGGGTCATTCGACCCCCAGGTTGTGAACCGCTGAGTAGAGCAATCAGACTCTATATAGTCTGTCCCACCTTAAGTAGGGCCCACTCCTTGCTGATAAGGATAGTGAATTGATTCCCTGAAGGAGAGCCCAGAGACAAGGTCAAACCAACTTAAGGAGGACCAAGGTTAGGTTGCCACCTTGAATCTAGGGTCTGCCCATCTCGACACATGTACACACCTAGTACCTCCCGTTCCTATTGCATCTACACCCCAGCTCATCCCTCTTCTGAATGTGTCTGCCTGTTGCACAACACCTTCCTGTTACGTATGTGGTTACCTATAACTAAGGGGGCTTGCATGCCCTCGAGGGTATAAGTCTTGTTTGGCAATATATTCTCTCTCTGTTTGGACCTGGCTCATGAAGTCATGTTGGTCCTGGAGGTGTAAGCACTTGCTTGCTTTATCTGTCTGATATCTCTTTAATTTTACCCCTCAATTACACAACTGCCCCTTGGACCCATTTGATTGTGGGGTCTGGTACCCCACATCAGACAAATTCAAATGATAAAATAACCTATAAAGCTGGTCTAGATGCTAAAAATAAAAGGACAGCCCCTCCCTCCAAGTGGGGAGATGTAAGATGAACGGTTATATTAGTAGTCCTGGTAATTAAACTCAGTGACTCGATATTAGGCTGGACCTTCAGATAAAACCAATAAAGGACACAGACAATGGGGGGGGTGGCGCGGGAGGACCGTATTAGTAATGAGAGCAGATAGAGGTCCTGTGTGTGTCATGTACTGTGGTCATGAGGGAGAATGTCTTCCGGCCCATTTCTTTTATGTATTTAGGGATGAAGTGCCAATCGTGAAGGCCCCAACTTAGCAGTAACACAACAGGGGCTAAGGGACAAATTAGCAAACTGTTAAAAATTGGTGAATTTAGGTGACTTGATTGTGCCTTATACTAATGTTTCACCTCTTTGAGTTTGACGTTTTGCTAAATAACATTTTAAGATAAAAAAAAAATCCATAAATAATAGTGTAAAACACAGGAAAACCAGCTCAGGCACTTGGCTGAACTCCTAGGAGCCCCTTGTTCCCACGTTAACTACCCCAAGATTGTAGTACGACTACAGCACTATCTGAGAACTGGCACTTGATACCTCTGCCTTCGTTTTTTCTGGGTTTTCCAAGTTTCTCACCTCTGACGGCGTGCAATCTGACCACTTTTCTACTGCTCGTTTTTTGGTTTCAATTAAAAGATCATTTTATTGGGGGCGCTTACAATGCATACATCAATTGTATCAAGCATATTTGTACATGTTGCCATCATTATTTTCTAGACATTTACTTTCTATTGAGCCCTTGATATCGGCTCCCCCCCACTCTCCTGACCCTTTGATAAATTATAAATTATCATTTTCATATCTTACACCAGCCACTGTCTTCCTCCCCAGTTTGTCCCATGGAAGGGGTGTGTGTGGTTATGTGTTTCTATCGGTTCCCCCTTCCTTCCCGTCTCTCCTCACCTTCCCCCTACCCTTCTGGTATCACTACTCCCATTCCTGTTCCTGGATTCCGTGTCTTCTGCTCATTTTAGGGGGAAATAACATTTGTGTTTTCCGTCTCTGACAGGTGCAGGCTATCACAGATTTCACTGTGTATCTTCATTCTCGACTTTAGGACCCTCTTTACCAAGGTCCAGTTCCTGTTCAATTTTCCACAAGAACTACCACTTATATGAGAGAAGCCCCCCACATGAACTGCTCTCCAGAACTGTTGAAGCTCGTGTTCCGGCTGGGCTCTTGGCAAGCTGCTCTCTTCTGCAGCTATCTGCATGCCTCCGATTTTTCTCAGCCACCTTCCACAAGACTGGCAGATAGTTGGAAGCGAAGGAAGGCAGTCTTGCCTTCCCCGCGGTTCACTAGTAGTAACAGGCCAGAGATGTACACCGATGAAAACAGTGAGAGACACACACGGCCAAGGATTTATTCAAGTGCCACCTGACTCCCTCCTCAGCTCCTCCTGGTCTCTTCCCTGCTAAGTCTAGGGGGGTATCTGAGACCTGTAAGTCTCTCCTCACAAGAACACCCAGGAGCCCCATCGGCCCTCAGCTGGCTCTGCTGCCTTGAACTTCAGTGAATCCCCTCCCACCCACCAGCTGACTCAGATCGTCCCCTATATTGGAACTCAGGGAACCACTTCTAGGTGAGGGGTCCAGAAAACCCAACCGTGCGCCTCTTCACTGGCCGGGGGCTGCTGAGAAGCAAAAGGTTTACCTGGGCAAAAGAAGGGGAGGGAGAGTCTTCTTCCAGACTCCCAACGCAGAGGGAGGGACTGCCCTGACCGGCAGTAGGTGACAGAGGGGCCAGCAGAAAGTCTGAAAGGGAACCAGAGACCTAATTACGTGAGTCAAGTTCCAAAGAGCTAGTAACCTCTTCACATTAGCTATGAACTCGGGGTCAGGCCTAGATAATTCCCTGCCCCAGCCCACCCCAATCAACCTTGATCCAATCTTCAACTCTGCCATCTTCTTATAAAGCCAAGAAGGTGGCCTGCTATAGTGATCATATAAATAAGGCTAAAGGTCCATTGAATCTCTGAATCCAGACCTCCCCCTCCAGTCTAAGGAGAGACAAATGCTATAGTTCCACCCATACCCCAAAGTCATGGTGGGACCTCTTTTCTACAGTAGGAAAAGAACTGTCCACATAGGTTGGCTCCGCAGGCTCTAATATTTTGTCACAGCTTGGGTGTATCTGGATGGACAAGCCCTAGGAAAAGGTCAGCCTTTGTACTCCAGCCAGCAGAGTTCTCTGACCATGGGAGGATCCCGTGAGAATTGAACCATCACCGCCAACATGAAGATGCAAGCTTCCTCCCAACGCTCCTCAGGAGCCGTATGTACCACCTCTCTCCACGCCTCCTGACCTAGCAGCGGAGCCCCAGCCTCATCGGTCCACTCACTGCCCTGCTCACTGCAAGGAGAAGGAGGCCTGGCCCCTCTCTAACAGCTGGCCCTTCTGAAGTCAGCCAGGGCGGTTGAGACTTGCTCATGGGATCACCCAATTACACATGGAAGTCCGCCCCTCAGATTTCAGAGAGGCTAATTCAAGGAAGTGATCTCTACCCCCTGGAGAACCTATCATGATCTGCCTCATTCCTGCCGGGTTAAATGGAAGAGCACCAGGGTCTACAGTCTTTTGAGGCTCAGTTCCATTCCACACCCCACCATTGACCATTGACCCTGCCTCTGCCTCAAGTCTTATTCTACAGGCACAGGCACAGGATCACATGACTGACCAAGGTCTTCTGGCCTTGGACATCAGGCTAAAAATATCAGGCAGAGAAAGAAACCTCAACTGACTACCAAAAAGTATCTCCCAGACTGAAGAAGATCAAAACCAAGAGTACCAAAATTAAAGCCAGTAACTGTTTCATTTGACCCTTTCTCTATAGCAGGGGTGTCAAACTAGCTGCCCAAGGGCCACATATAGCCCCCGAGGTTAATTTTTTGTGGCCCACAATGCTCTGAAATAAAATGTAACGAGGGAATTGTGTGTACAGTATTGCCTCGATTTCCCTTAAGCGCTATTTTCTTCCTAACAATTTTTTCTATTTTCATTTTATTTCAGAGGGGGACACAAAAATTATTTATATCACGGGACACAAAAATTTACGTCGGGGTCTGCATGCAGCCCATGGGCCATGTTTGACACTCCTGGCCTACAGAAACAATTCAGAAAGCTCCGTGCTCCTTTGAGCCATCTCTGTCTGGATCCTGCTCTTCTGAGCACTGGAGAAGATACATTTCTACCATGCCAGTCCCACATCAGCCCATTCAGTAATCCTTTGTTTTTGGAAGGCTGTTTCTTAACCCATAAAGGGTATCAGATTTGACTTGATCAAAAGCCTTTTACATTAGAAGTCTTTCCCTTAGTTCAAAAAGTACCGTAGTTACTTTATCCTCCAATGGATGTGACATATTTCATGGCACAAAAACGCAAATTTAGCCATGAACCTGATGGCCAGTTTTGCAGGCTGTCCTCAAGTTGTTTGTGATGCTGGGAGACACACAGAGATCTCAAAAGCAACAACTAGAAATAAAACAACTTGGGTCACTGGAATTTTCTAGCTTAGAGCTAGGCTGAACCCTTCTGGAGGTTTGGGGGAAGCTGGCAGGGCATACAGCAGCCAATCAGAGAAGTGAATCAAATGCTACCGATGTGATCTACCCTCAAGAATATAACTCTCAGGTTATTCGCCCGAAGACCACACCAGGCTATTGTTGTGGATTCAGACACGAAGGCTTTGCTTAGGATCTGTGGCTGCTGGCTTGGCTTCTCCCATTTACTCACCTGCACAGGGCCCGGGACTTCTGCTAAGAGAAGAAAGGGAGAGTGGCCCGGGGTCCTCGGTGCTGGTGGGACCCAAAGCTGAACTGGAGGAGCTGCTGTAGGAATTGAAGGCAGGAAACTGCTGTAGATTCTCTAGGGGAATGTGGACTTCTGGGTCTGAAAGGAAGCCGAGATCAGGTTGGTCCATTGGCAGCGTTTCTCTGGGACCCTTGGAAGTATGCTAGACCAGGTAGGGTGCAATCTGAAAACCCAAACCCATAACAGCAGCCCTCTGATGTCGGTGTTCATGTTAGAACCGTGTTCTAACGTGTCATAACTGAAAGTGCGGAGCAAGTGTGAGGAGTAATCCTACAGTTCTCCTGTGTTTGCCCATTGCTGCTATATACAGTTAAAACCACAGCATCAAAAATCTTGATTCTGAAAATTATTCTCTCAAGGTGCATTAAATGTGCACAACGGCTCCCTGTGTTGGACCCCAAGGAATGTCCTGACTCCAGCCTGAGTATAATTCTGGAATGTTTAGAAGAAAGCATCACATTATATCCTGCAGAGCCAAAATCGCTAATGCCTTCCCCCAGCGGTTCAGGGCCGACTCCAAGCACGCCGTGTGCAGTGCGCTTGTTCTGTGCTGGAGACCTCCTCCCACGCTGCTCCTCTTTCCTGGGCTCACTGATGTTCACGTGGCACACCAGCTGAGGAGAGTCAGGGCTCACTAGTACAACGCTTCCACGCCATCGCACACCTTGGGACAATCTCGGCCCAACCCACCCCGAGTTCTCTACTGATCTCCACTTTCCTTCCTCAGAGCAGGTTCGTTCGCCAGCATGGGCAGGATACATTTAAAATGAACTCTTGGTTCTATGCACTGGACCCGCACTAACTTACTTAACCTTGGCACCAAGTCTCTGAGGGAGGCCTTCTCCTGACTCCCATCTGGGACTAGAGAAAGCAAGCGGTGGAGCTGAGAGCCTAGTGGGGGGAGGAGTTCCGGAACTTACACTTGCCCTGTCTCTTGTTCTCCTCCATCTCGATCCTGCGTTCCCGGCGGCGCTCCTCCCGAGCCTTCTTCTGGCGCTGGCGCTTCCTCTTCTCAATGTCATCTGTGGAAGGTCAGTGTGAGGAGGGCCCCAAGACAACGTGCACACGGGCTCTTCCCGTGAACGTGGGCAGGCCAGGCAGACTAGACGGCACGTTAGGGGAGACCGGTAATACAGCGCCCGCCGCAGGTATCTGCCCGCAAGCATCTCTGAAGCCAGGGTTACCCTCGGCTCACCTGAGAACATCTCCAGGGTCTCCTCTGAGACGACAGGAGGCTGCAAGGCCAGTTCGCAGATGCTGAACTCACAGGTGAGCGGCAAGTGAGAGAGATAGCGGTGACGCTGGCGAACATCCTAGGTGGGAAGGGGACCACCCAAAACTGAGACCAGGCCAAATTGGGAGCAGAGCTTTCCAACCCCATTATCACCCACAGCCAGCACTGGACTCAATGGGCTTAAGTTAGCAATCATTTTGCAAAGACAGACAGCAATTGTTGAATAGCTTACAAGACAGAACTAGCAACTCAAACCAGATTTTTGGTTTGTAAATCGGCGAACAAGTGAACTGAGTCTGGTAAAGAATGACTCCAGTTAATTAACGAGGTGCTTCTGCTTTTCTGGGCTCCACAGCTGAGGGAGGAGAACAGGACATAAACGTGTATTTGTCGGCAGAATATATGGCGCTCACGAACAGGACTTGTGCTAACTGGCAAAGATATAAACCAAGCTCCCAAGTGAACAAAGCGTGGGCGTTAACAGAAAGTTGAAGTACCTATCAATTTACAATATGCTTTGATTGAAAAGTCACAGCACTGAGAGAATCTCACAATTTTGAGTCTTATCAACCTGTCGGTGGTCGATATTGGGACAATCTCCCAAGTTAAAATTCACGCGGCATCTTCACAAAGTGTGGACAACTCTCCGCCAGTCACTTGAAGCTCCCATCTCTACTAAGGGGTATCAAATACAAACAAAAAAGGAATTTCCCCCCCAAAGTTATGCATTTAAATTTTTTTTACAAAACAACTTTATCATCTTCAAAGTACTCTCCATGACACTTAATAATCTGTGATCCCATTCTTGGAACCATTTTCAAAGTCATCTGTTTGGATGGCTGACAGCACCTGTCATGTCCCTCTTCATTTGAGGAAACAAAAAGAAGTGGCAGAGAGCAAGGTCAGGGGAGTAAGGTGCATAGGGCAAGAGAGGCATGCTGTTTTGGGCCAAAAACTGGCCCAGATATGGCTGTGTGAGCAGGTGCACTGTCGTGGTGGCAAACCGAGTCCCCTGTCTGCCATAAAGCAGGCCTCTTTTGTCGCACACTGTTACACAATCTTTTCAGAAGCTCTAAATAGAAAGCTTGATTAACAGTCTGACCTGGTAAAACAGATTCCAAATGCACTATCCACCTGGTATCAAAAAGTACAAATGAACGTCATCTTGATCTTTGATTTCACTTGACGTTTTTTGGGGGCGAGGTGAGGATGGTGTCTTCCATGAGCTTAATTGATGTTGGCTTTTGGATAAGAAGGGCAGCACCATGTCTCCAGTAATGAATGACCTTGGAAAACAAGTCTGGGTTGCTTCAGAGCTGTTCTTTCAAAGCACGGCATGTTTCCACAGGACTCTTTTTCTTGGTCAGTCAGAACCCAAGGCACACATTCCGCAGGGACCTTTCTCATTCCTCAATCTCCCGTTAGAGTTTGCTGAACTGAGCTCCAAGATAGTCCAGATAACTTCCCCATCTCTTCAGTGGTCCGCTGTCCATCTTCGAGCACAAGAGCATACATTTTGTCGACATATTCTCAGGAAGTTGACAGATATCCAGAGAGGCTTGTCATCAATTGACATGTCACCTTTTTTGAAATGAGAAAGCCACTAGTGCACACTTGAGCTTTCCCATTGCGCTTTGTAAGCTGTGGTCAACATCCTAACACTTTCTGTGGCATTTTTCCACCAGGAAACAAAATTTCACAGCCAAACACTGTTCAAGTCTTAATTGGCCATCATTAAAAAATTAGGTTCGAGAGAAACTGCTTTCATGAGAAAATTCACTGTAACCAGAGAGACCCTTCCCAGGCGACACCACTGGGTCCACTAATTCAGAGTGGCTCGATACTTGCCTAGCGGGAAAATGTGTACTGAAAGCTCCCCGCAGTGGAGCTTTCACACATTGGACAATAATCTGCAGGTATTTTCTAAACTATTGATTCAAGTCTGCATAGCCCGGCTTCAAGTTTTACAATGATACAACAAAGAACACAGCATCTATGGGTACGTTTCTCCTAAGCAAATTCCACCCTGAATGCAACTCCCTAAAGACAGGAAATGATGCTGAGAAGCAGAGCTCGGAGGTGACTGACTGAACTGCCCAGGAGAATTTTCTGCCCTGGCGTAACAGTGCACCATCCACTTCGTTAAAAGGCACGGGTGACATCACTGCTAAAGATGCATGAGAAAATACACAAACCGAAGCCTGGCCTTTGACCAGCTTGAGTAGGAAGTGGGAGTCACCACCACTGGTTGGGCCCTGCAGGCGCCTACCTCCGACATGGAGTGCCCGTCGATCTCCACCACGGTCGCCGAGATCTTCTCGGGGCTCTGCTCCAGACTGCCGTATTCCCGCACCAGGCAGCGCACGTTCACTGGGTGCAGGAACATGTGCTGCCCATCCTCCGCTGGAGACAAGCGGTTCAGTCACACAACAGCCTCAGCTGGCACTTAGGACAGCACCCCTCCATTAAGCAAGGCCTGCCTCTGCCCCTGCTTAAGACCCAGGTCTGCTCTCCGAAGCTTTGCCACAAAACCCCAGCCCTCCTCCTCCTTGGGGCCCTCTCACCTTGGTAAAAGTAGTAGCAGGGAGAACTGCTCAGGTGTGCGGAGACTGGCTTGGTGATGGGTTCCTGCTGGCCAGACTCAGTATAATTGGTCCCTTCCCCACGACTGTCATCTGCTACCTCTGGGTCAGCACAGGCCTCGGGCAAGCCCTCAGGCTCCAGTTCTGATGCAGCTTCCTCTTCCTCCACCAGAGGGAGAGACGAGTGCAGAGAACAAGCTGCTGTGGTTTCATCAAAAGCAGACAAATAGCCCAGAACACCCTGTTGGAACAAACTCTACTGTTAGCAGAAAGTGCACGTCCTGGACTCAGGAAGCAACGTGGCAAGGGCTGGCCCAGGAACCAAGCTCTCAGGATGTTTGCCTCGGCTGTCCCCGATCCTGACCTCGCGCGCCTGGGGAAGGGACGATTAAGCCTATGGGAAATACTGGAAGGCCCCTCAACTCCCAAGGAAGTTCGGGCCTCACCACAGAGCCTCCCGGGTCAGCAACCGTGCAGTGAGGGCAATGGCGTCCACTGAAGCTCCAACAGAAGCACTCACCTTCCTGGGTGGAGCCACCAGCACCAGTTGTTCCAGGGCAGCCACCACCCCAGTGACGTCGCCGCTGCCTTCGGCCAACCCTGACAGAGCCTGCTCCCGAGCCTAACGTCACCGGAGAGAGGAACAGTAAGTCGAGTTTCTAGAAACACTTGGGCTTGAAGGACAAGGACATACAATGGCCTTTCTAAACAGACGCACAATTTTTAAATTAACCAGATCCATTGGTCTGACGCACTATGCTCAGAGAGGGCCTCAGAATAGGATAGGAGGCAAGAGGTCTGGCTGGCCCTGCTTAGCCCTCACCCCAACCTGAACAGACCTATGGCTTTGCAACTTTTCTTGTATCTGAAACAGTTGTAGAGTAAAAAGTAGAAAGTACACACAGGAGCCTATCCAACAATGATTTCTCTGGGTGTCAGAGCGGTAGGAACTTAGGCACCAGCTCACTTCGTAGGAGTCTTAGAGCTCACCAGACTCCATTATTTCAGCACAAAAGGGACAACTATATACACCACATTGAGATATGAAACTTAAATACGATAAACTGAAGTACATGAGGTTTTCAAAGAGTTTGTTGGAACATTCTAGTAGCTTTTAATTCCATTTTCTACAAACATTTTGGAGCCTCCCTAACTAGTGCTTAGGACAGGCCCTGCCATGTGTTGCTAATCACACAGGCAATGAGGGTTCTGCCTGTTCTGCTCTAGATCCGTGTGGGCTGGAGAGGAGCAGCAACCCCAGCACCCTCGGAGGAACTGGTCAAAGGAAATTACTAGTATGATAGATTGATTGTGCCAATAGGAATGTGTGGGAGTAATCATGCTGCAGTTTGATAGGAGAGCAAAGACATAAATGGCTCTCTGCAAAGCCCACCCCGTCTCTCCTGCTCTCTGGTGATTGGACCAGCGTGTTCCTGCGTTAGCTAGTTCTCTGCCTCAACCTGTGTGCGACACCACCTGTGGGCCCAACCAACCCACCCACTGATCCTGTTGTTAGAGCGTGAGGCTCCCTTGAGACCTGCTTTGCCACGCTGCTGGTGCTTACATAGTTTGAGCTTGAGGCTGGTGGATCCAGTCGCCTTGCATTGTTTGGCTTTGATCGATATCCCTTCTGGGCCTACTTTGCTGAGCTCCGGAGCTACTGACTGTTGCTAACTCACCCTACTGCCTGCAGGAAGACTCTGCCTACCTTGCCAGAGAAGGACTAAATTGTCTGCTTCCTTGACTTTGGACCTGGCAACCCTCGTGTGAGTTGAAGAACTTCCAGCATGTTAACTGTTCCATGAAAGTGAGTTGAACTGAATCCTCTGTACTGATGTGTGCACTAATTAGCTGTTACATTCCTTCTCACTGTATAAATCTCTCCATATATGAATATGTATATATATTCATTAAGTGTCCTGATTTTGTTTCTCTAGAGAACCCTGTCTAATACACTAAGCCTAAGCCCAACACACTGAGTCAACTTTAGGGGGCAACAATCCACAGCTGGCTCTTGGTCACAATTCAAGAATTCCTTCTGTTGAAGCTGCAGGACCTAGGGAATTCCTGCTTTACAGACTCCTTCTTGTCTGTGGGCACTTCTGACTGCTCCACCAGTCTCAGCAGGCATTGCTAGACCTGCCTGGCTGGCCCTAATCCTTTATCCACACTCTCTCTCAAACAACAACAAAATAAGTCTAAATGGCGTCCCAGGAAGCAAAAACCCCACTTTGCTAGAGCTAACTAGTAATTCCATAGTAAAAAATCGCTACAAAATTAATCATTCCAACTTGTTGCTTTCAGAGCAAAAGCTCCAGAAACCAAGAGGCAAGCCTCCCTTCTTCCTTTCCCAGCTTCAAACTGCTTCTCTGACCCATGGGTATCCCGTCTGCCCCTCTGTGTGGGTCTCACCTTGAGCTCCTGAATGGCGGCCTCGATGAAGCAGGACTCTGGCGTGTGCTTCTCCTCCACCAGCTGCCGCTCCAGTGCCACCTTCTCCTCCAGGACAACACGGCGCAGCACTTGCTTCTTGGAGGCCAGCAGCAGCTTGGAGTACTGACTGTGCTGGTCATCTATATGAGAGTAGCAAGTTCAGAAGGGCGGTCCTTCAAGTACACGAGTGACAAAGACAGCAACCCAGCCACTGTCCAAAGCACACTCTAACAGTGACCTTAGGAGTAAAATGTGTAACTCTGACCCTGGGACACAAGGGATCTAGCCTGAGGCGGCCATGCAGCCAAATAATGTCCACCAATTAAATCATTGCCTGTGATATCAGAAAAGGTGAAACTAGCCAGTTAATCCAACAAACAAATGCCTAATTATGTGATGGTACACTCATTAAATAGAACTTCTACAGACACTAAAAATGGCTTTGAAAGAAGGGAACATTTAGCAGGCAGACTCTCCAAGACTGGGCACAATGACTGCCATTGTCCAACAATGCCCTACAGAATAAATGCTCAAGATGCCTACACAGCCGAATCATGCTTGAAACCAAGAGTCAAACCACCCGCTGCAAACTTTCATCCCAACAAGCCCATTGGGAAATGGTGACACTGACTTTCCCCAAGATTAAATTCTGGACCTGCCCCAAGGAAAATAGCACTTACCTCCTAGATGAATGGGATGATCTACATTCATCCATTTGGATTTGGGCAAGGCCACCAACACGCCCTTCTCCCTCTTCATCAGCTGCATCGTGATAGTATCACCAACTACATACTGGTGCGACTCTGTGGCAACAACACTGTAACGTGGACAGTTAGACATAGCAAGACCAAGCGCTACCAGACTGGTGGTTACCCTCAGCCAGTTCAGGCCTTCAGCTCACCTCTTGAGATCCTTCTTATGCACAGAACTGTAGCAGATGGGGCATTTACTCCAGGTCTTCTCACTCAGGGAGAGGTAGTGCAAGATGCATGCCCAGCAGAATATGTGTCCACAACGAGTTATCTTGGCCGCAGTAGGTGGATACAGGCATATTGGGCAAGATGGCACTTCATGGCTACATATGCGCTACAAGAGAACACCGCCAAAGTTCTACTGCTTGTAGAATTGACGAAGGATTGCCAAGGCTACAGCCTGTCTTCTCCCATCCCCATCCCTGAACATCTCAACTCAGCACTGGGCAGGTGTATGTAGAACAGTACCTTATAGATGTCGATAAGGTAACGCAATGGCTGAATGCAGTACAGCGATGGCGAGGCTGTCTGCTCCTGGAGAAATGTACAGCCTCAAACACCCCCCAGGATGCTCTAAGTTGGAATCAACTCAACGGCAGTGGGTTTTGGTTTGGTTTGAGACAGATGGACAAGGAGAGAAGCTCTGGTGGAGCAGTGGGTAAGCATCTCGCAGCTAACCACAAGGTGGTGGTTAGGACCCACCAGCTGCTCCACGAAGAAAGATGTGGTCTTGTTCTGACTGACGTGCAAAAGAGTCAAACAGAAAATAAAAGCCACCTCATGACTGCTTGGCACATTAATGACACACATCTGGCAGTAATGAACGCCGTGGTACAAGCTGAAAGTGATGCTGGCTTTGATGGTTAAAGGTATGTCATGGTTCTCAGTGTTTTTGACAAGTCTTTTAACAGTTACATTATGATGAAATTTAGCAAGTGTGTAATGATATAAGAATGCTCCCGTTTGTGATCCGATTTAGTCGTCCTCCATTTCTGCCTAACAACTCATTCTTTGGATCAGTCACGTTGATCAGTGAGTGAGAAGTGGGTGGATCTGATTCTGTGTTGTGCTTTGTTGTTTCTCAACCGAAGCACATGAAACCTAAGATTTTAGTAGACCTGAAGTTTAACAGCCACCAAAAGAAACTTGAGTCCTTAAGGAGCACTCCTAGATGACGTTCTGAATGTTCCTATTAACAGGAATCCAGGCTTTGAGGTCAAAGGAAAAGCAGAGCTTGCTCTCATGAAAGGTAATCTACAGCAGACATCCTGTCAGGATCTGCAGAGGGGGTACCTGGAGTCCATGCGGTCAACAGAAAACCGTAGCTCTGACAAAAGCACAGCTCTGTGACCTACTTGCTTTCCTACTGCATAGCCCAACTTATCATTACTTCAAATGGCCGACAATGGAGCACTGCCCATGCACAGTCCATTCTGGGTCAGGAGGATAACCAGTCCCCTGGTCCTTGACTTCCCAGCAGAAAGGAGTAGCGGACAACTCTGCTCAGAGCCTTCCGACACCCTATCCGGCAGGCCAAAGCCAGTGAGAGCCACGAATTGAACTCAACACACAAAACAGGGCAGCAGCCAAAAACAGAACCCATAGCTGCTGGGGTACACCCCAGCACTTTCCCATGGTTCTCTCTCCCACCAATGCTTATAAGCTGAGCTACTCACCACTTGTTCCACAAAGTCCCAGTTGACTAAGGTATCAGGATCAGCAAAATGCGCTGTGTAGTCTTGGTTTTCAGACACCACAAACTGGCAGCTAGAAATAGAAAAACAGGGAAGAGGCAGGCTACGAGCTGCCACCCTAAACCCTCAGCAGACACTCGGAGTCGAACACAGGCCCTTAGCAGCCCTGGTTCCTGGGGCACTGTGCTCAGAGACTTCAGCCTCAGCGCAGGCTCCTGGCACGGAATGAAATCCCAAGGCTCGGCCAGTAGAAATCTAAATCCATGAGCTTGATTTCTTTTGCTTGTAAGCCCAGCCAAGTCCTCCGGAGGCCTCCCTAGAACTATAATTAACCAAGATTAAGCCCATTAGCCAGCAGGAAGCTAGACCGCCATTCTCTTTGGAAGCTGGCTAGTCTTCAGAATGGTGCCCATGCAATCCCTTCCAGATCGGTTTATGTAAGGTAGAATAGTTACTTCAGTCTAGCTCCAAGGACGAGTTTTACGTAAGGACCAATTCTGTACAAAAGGGAACCGGTATTTGAACAAACTCATGCCACAGCACTTCAATTATGATTTCTTCAGCTTGATAGTGGTTAGGTAAATTAGCCAAGGTCAAAAGCCAAAACAAGATCCAGTCTGGGTTCAACTCCAGAGGAAATATGTTCTACCTCAACCTGTCATGAAATTACCCATTTACTTCCCATCATATTCTTTTAAGCACCATGAGCATCCAGCCAAATACAGAAGAGCCTGATCTCAAACGCCCAGTTGTTTACACAAAACCTCCCACGGCTGTCAACTGCCCAGACAGCCTCCATGTCACTTTCCTCTTAAGAACAGCCATACTCACTTGGCCTGTAAAAAGAGTTCCTTGTTAAAAGGCTTATGCCCCCACTTGTTTCTTTTTCCCCAGCTGCCATGTCCACTGCTTTCAAAGTGACCTGCCTGGCCACGAGGTTCAAATGTGAAATTCAGCAAGTGGTTGAGGTTGATCTTCTTAGGACCAGAGAACTGGGCAGGGCTGAACTCTGCCCGCTGAGCCTCTGCTACCTAGAGAGAAGCACAATGAAGATTAGAACAAGTTCTGATTTAGAGCCGGCTTGGGCGCAACTCTCCCTTCCACACGCTCAGAAAACACAGGCTGACATGAAACCACAATCTTTCTCGAAGGGGGTCAAACCTAAGCCTCCCCAAGGCAGGACGGCAGCAGAGGGGAAGAAAAGAGCCCTGAAGCTGTGCAGTAGGCCCTAAGTGGCAATTAGCCACTAAATAACAAAGCCCAGCAGGAATTCCTCTAGCTGTCCAGAAGTGAAAAAATACACCTCGTGTTGTTTTGTCAATGACCCCACGTATGCTGACATTCTGCTGTGATCCAGAGGGCTCTCACTGGCTCATCTTCACAAGTAGACTGCCAGGTCTTTCTTCCTAGTCTCCATCTAAAGTTCCACTGAAACCTGTCCACCGTAAGTGACTCTGTGAATTCCAATACAGGTCGCACAGCTTCTACCACCATAGCAACATGCAAATCGCCCCAGTACAACTGACAGGGAGGTGGTGGTGAAGCTTCCCTGACTAGAAACAATTTTTAACAGTCCTAGAAGATGCCTCCCTCCGTCTCCACTCTGGTTAGTTACTTTTGGGAGCGTGTGTCTGGCAGTCTGTGGAGCCACACTCTGGAGGCAGCTTGCAAGCACCCCTAACTGTCATAGGTTTAAGGATCCTGCTAGCGACAGCCTGTCAAAGACACACATTGCTAATTCGCAGCGACAGAACTAGAGCATGTAGGCAGGCAGAAATAAACCCCGTCAGCAGTGTCAAAAGCAGTTTAAAAAAACCCACAGCAACAAATTACATATTCATATTTGAAATACCACTGCCCACAACAATGGAAGAGAAATCATGCCAGGGCGTAAGTATTTCAGTCCTCTTAGCAGGCTCAATATGGCCAAGAGCATTTAGTACCGAAGGAAGACGACCAAGCAGCACTGAAGGCATTAGCCCGAAACACGGCTCCAGGAATGAATGAAATACTAATCAAAATGTTTCAACAATACAGAGCTAAAGCACTCAATTCATCCATGCCAAGTGGAAGCGATCCTTATCTGCGCCCATTTCAAAGAAAGATGACCCAAGGGAGCAAGAAAATTATCGACTATGATTAATATCACATGCAAATAAAACTTCACTGAAGATCATTGAAAAACTGTTGCACCAGTACATCAACAGTGACCCACAGGACTTCAAGCTTGCAGGAATTCAAGAAGAGGTGGAACAAGAGCTGAGAGCTATCACTGCTGATGTCATATGGAATTTGGCTGAAAGCAAAGAATGCTAGCAAGATGTTTACCTGTGTTTTATCAACTATGCAAAGGCATTTAACTACATAAAGCATAACAAACTATGGAAATCTTTCAGAAGAATGGGAATTCCAGAACACTTCATTTTGCTCATGTGGAACCTGTACTCAGATCAAGAGGCAGTTGTGTGAACAGAACAAGGGAAAAGTATATGATTTAAAATCAGGAAAGCTGTGCACCAGGGCTATAACCTTATTCAATTTGTGTGTGTTGTGTAAATAGTCCAAGAAACTAGATTACGTGATGAACAGGGCACTGGAATTGGAGGGAGACTCGTTAACCTGTGACATGGACATGACACAACCTGCTCGCTAAGTGAAGAGGATTGAAGCTTTTACTTATGAAGATCCCAAACTTCACTT